CCTCCCTTCGTCCGGCCACCGCTCCCTTCGAGACTCTCCACTTGGACGTCTGGGGCCCTGCCCCGACGCAGGGGTCTGGGAGAGAGCGTTACTTTCTGATGGTCGTCGACGACTACTCCAGGTACACCACCGTGTTCCCTCTTGCGAAGAAGTCCGAGGTGACTGCTACGCTGATCAGGTGGCTTCTAGCCACTGAGGGCACTCGTGGTCGTCGAGTCAGTTGTCTTCACTCCGACCGTGGGGGCGAGTTTCGCTCCGGCATTCTCGGCGGATTCTGCGGCGAACAGGGCATCACCTAGTCCTGGACGCTGCCAGAGTCCCCACAGCAGAATGGGGTTGCTGAGCGCCGCATAGGCTTGGTCATGGACATCGCCCGCACGTCCATGATCCATGCCCGTGCGCCCCATTTTCTGTGGCCTCACGCGGTTCGCTACGCCGCACACCAGCTGAACCTCCAGCCGCGTGTCTCGCGGCCCGAGGCTTCACCGACCAGTCTTTGGACTGGTTCCCCTGGTGTTGGGTCGGCCTTTCGAGTCTGGGGCTGCCTTGCACTTGTTCGCGACACCTCCGCGGACAAGCTCTCGGCACGCGCCGTCCCCTGTGTCTTCCTTGGTTTCCCAGTGGACTCTGCCGACTGGTCCTTTTACCACCCGCCCCTCCACCAGTTCCTAGACTCCCGTGACGTCCGGTTTGACGAGTCTGTGTCCTACTACACCCGGTACCCCTGTCGAGGTCTCCCGGTACCCCCTCCCCCCCTGTTCCTAGCACCCTCTCCTCCTCCTGCTCCTGCTCCTCCGGTACCCCCGCCCCCCCCTGGTCCTGCCCCGTCTGGTGTGTCTCACGCTACCCCTCTACCCTCGGTCGCGCGTCAGGTAGCGTCTCCCTCCCCGCAGTCCTCCTCACAGTCCCCTCAGCAGCCTTCGGCACTTCCGCGACAGGTTACTGTGGACTCGGTTGGTGTTGGAGCTGGAGGTGCAGCCGCTGGCGGTGCTCGGTCTGGGGGTGCTCGGTCGCGGGGTGCTGGAGCTGGAGGTGCTGGCGCAGGTGGCGCTGGCTCTGGGGGTGCTGGAGCTGGAGGAACTGGCACTGGAGGTGCTAGTTCTGGGGGTGCTGGAGTTGGCGGTACTGGCACTGGCGGTGCTAGTTCTGGGGGTGCTGGAGTTGGAGGTCCTGGCACTGGAGGTGCTGGTTCTGGGGGTGCTGAGTCTGAGGAGACTGACGCTGGAGACCCTGGTTCTGCAGAGTCCACTCCGCCTCCCCACCGCCACGACACGCGTCTCCAGGCTGCCCGTCGGCGTGAGCGTGAGGAGCAGGAGCGGTTGGAGAGGGAGTGGCAGGAGCTGCGGGTGCTGGACCTTCTGGAGCAGCAGCGGCAGCAGCAGCAGCAGCAGCAGCAGCCGCAGCCGCAGCCGCAGCAGCAGCAGCCGCAGCCGCAGCCGCAGCCGCCACCGCAGCTTCCTCTGGAGCGGCAGTTGTTCCCACCTGTGAGTGGCCTGCGGGCCCTTGGCCTTTCCTCCTCTCCTCCTGTCCGCTCCCAGTCTCCTCCTGTGTTTGTTCCTCCGTTGCCTCCTCCTGACGACCGTCCGGCGGTCTGGTCTTCTCCTCCTCCTCGGTCTCCTCCTCACTCTGTCCGTCACGACTTGATCACTCGTTGTCCTCCGCGTGCTCGTCACTCGTCCCCTGTTACTGACCTCCACACTGCCCTCTTTTGTTCGTCCAGTCGTCGTTCTTGTTCTCCTGTGTCCGTTCTCCCATCTCCTCCTCCGTCCTCTCTCCCAGCCCTCCCCACTCCTATAACTGACTACTACCGCACTGTTCGTCCTGTTGCCGCACGTGTCCTCGCCACTCTTGTCACTGACTCTCGTTTCCCTCCGTCGTCTACCTCGGCTCTTACTGCCGCTGTCGCTGAGTTTGCTGCCGCCAGCCGCCTTGACTACGCCACCCGGGTGGTGCCAGCTCCTCCCTACCGTCCTCTGTCCGTCGGGGGTGGGTTTGCCCTTGGCTGTGACGTCCTAGAGGACAGAGAGTCTGAGCTGGAGTACTGGGCAGCCGCTTCTCCCTCTGTGTGTGCCATGCTGCTCTCCCCTGAGGGAGACCCCCACGCCCTTGACATACCGACTCCTCGCACTTACCGCGAGGCAGTGTCAGGGGCGTGGGCCTCTCAGTGGAAAGCGGCTATGGACTCAGAGTTGGCGTCTTGGAGATCCACAGGCACCTACGTCGACGCAGTTCCCCCTCCCAGGGCGAACGTAGTCGATGGCATGTGGCTCTTCAAGGTGAAGCGGCCGCCTGGAGCACCGCCGGTGTTCAAGGCGCGCTACGTGGATAGGGGCTTCAGTCAGCGTGAGGGAGTTGACTTCTTCCAGACCTTCGCCCCGACCCCGAAGATGACTACTCTTCGGGTGTTACTGCACGTAGCAGCACAGCGAGACTACGAGCTGCACTCCCTCGACTTCTCCACTGCGTTCCTCCAGGGCCGACTGCACGAGGAGATCTGGCTGCGCCGTCCTCCTGGCTTCACTGACACCTTCCCACCTGGGACCCAGTGGAGCCTGAGGCGACCAGTCTACGGTCTCCGCCAGTCGCCCCGTGAGTGGCACGACACTCTTCGCTCCACGCTTCGTGACCTTGGGTTCAGCCCGTCCTCCGCCGACCCGTCGCTGTTTGTTCGAGCGGGTTCTACTCCTTTCTGTATCCTTGTCTACGTCGACGACTTGGTGTTTGCTACAGCTGACAGGGCAGCCCTGGCTCAGGTGAAGTCCGAACTGCAGAAGAGACACAAGTGCACTGACCTGGGTGAGCTGCAGCGCTACCTTGGCCTGCAGATCACCCGGGACAGAGCCGCTCGCACCATCACACTGACGCAGTCACACATGGTGCAGCAGGTCCTTCGGCGGTTCGACTTCCAGTTCTCCACCACACAGCCCACTCCTCTTGCTGTTGACCACAGACTCACGGGCCCCTTTCCTGACGAGCCCTTCGAGTCCAGTGGACCCTACGCAGAGCTGGTGGGCTGCCTCATGTACCTGATGACTTGTACTCGACCGGACCTCGCCTTTCCCCTCAGCATCCTTTCTCGCTTTGTTGCGACTGGGAGACACCGCCCTGTCCACTGGACAGCTGCTGTGAGGGTGGCGAAGTTCTTGGCGACTACATCAGGCATGGGGCTTGTGCTTGGAGGGACTCAGCCAGTGGCATTGACTGGTCACTGCGACTCTTCCTACGCTGACGACGTGGAGACTCAGCGCTCGACTCAGGGTTACTGCTTCAGTCTGGGAGCTGGTGCTGTGTCGTGGAGGTCTACACGGTCGTCGTCTGTGGCTACTTCCAGTGCAGAGGCAGAGATCTACGCTGGTGCCATGGCGGCACAGGAGCTTCGCTGGTTGACCTTCTTGCTCACCGACCTTGGTGAGCGGCCTCGCTCTGCACCGACCTTGTACGCGGACAACAAGGCCATGATCCTCCTGTGTCGAGAGCCTCGACTGGAGAGCAGAGTGAAGCATATTGACGTGAGGTACTTCCTTCTGCGAGAGCTTTAGCGACGCGGCCAGGCACGCCTGGACTTTGTGGCCTCAGAGGCCAACACTGCAGACGTCTTCACCAAGGCCTTGGCGCTTGGTGATCACCACAGGTTCTGTGTGCAGTTGGGGCTTGTTGAGGTAGGCCCTCGGTTGCTGTAGTCTTGTTGTTTGCTCTACTTGTTGTTCTTCCTATTTATATCCTAGTGAACTCTTGAACTGGCCTTGTGGCCACTTGCTTGCGCTCGGAATTTGTGTGGTGTCCTTGAGATCCACCCTGAGCTTGCCTTGTTTCTTGCTTTGACTGGTCTTGTGACCGTTTGTTCACCTTGCTTGCCTTGATGCCCCTCACTTGGCCTATGGGGGTGTGTCAAATGTAATTCTATGCTTGTAGGCTACAGTGAGTAGCACAATAGGGAGTACAGTTATTAGGGTTGCATATTTGTACTTCCACACTTCCTAGTTTCATTCATTCCGTTGCATTCCTATTCTGAGAAATAACTGACTCGATACTGAGCAGTTGCCCGAGTCGTCACTGTATCGAACCACAACAGCAACAGTTAAACAGTTATTAGTTGCACCCTTTCATATTCCTTGTAATCTTATAAAAGGCTTGTAATACTTCTCTATAATCAATCTATCTTGCCCTCACATACTAGCGCAAGGTGGTTCAACACTTCATCATTGAAACGCTTCCGCAATTACAATACTTCTATTCAGAATTTAGCCTTGCAAAGATCCTAAGGGCTTTTCTCAGCCCAACACGCTGGAGCTTACGAGGGGAAAATCGAGTCGCAGGGCGGTGTCGCCCATGCCCGTGACTATTGTGTTGTCCCATGTTTCGCGTGATTGACGGGACAGGTACAGTTAGTACCTCTAATCTTGGGTGTCGGCGCCCAGGTACCGTACATTGTATCAGAGTCGGTATGCTTTTGTACTTTGAATGATCAGAGTACACTCCCGGAAAACTCTGAAACGTCAGAGTTAAGTTTAGAATAAGTCTGAAAATTACAAAGTTTCTCTGATTTTAATAGAGCTGACAAAAAAAAAAAAAAAATCTGAATTCTCAGTGTTTTCATGCAAATCAGAGAAATTTCTGACTTCTGGGGACCTGGTACGAAGCGTATTCGGTTGCAAAGCCTATGTGGGCTACAATATGTTACTGATTTCAATATTTAGCGCATAAGCTTATAGAAAATACTCGATTACAAAGCGCACCCTGGATTTTTGCCTGACAAATTAGAAGCGCACCAGCTCTCCTATTCGAGGGGACACAGTACCGTATTATTGTACAGAATGATTATCGACTGCAATAGCAAGAACAGGAACTGAAAATGCTGTTAGCAAACACCAAGAGATGGTACATATGGTGCCAAATTTTGGCAATGTTTCTTTCACTCACTGCTTGCACTGGGCAGAGCATCTCTGCGGGGAAAGCGCTCTGCCATGTGTAGCAGCACGCACTTGTGCGTGGGGACCATGTCAGGCCTCCTCTTGCAGGGCTTGTTTGAACGATGCCGCCTCTCCTTCCTGCACATACCCAAATCGGCTGGTCTGGCCTGGAGCCAGCGCACCAGCTCCTTCCAGAACTCGGTAGTCATTTCCAGCTCGCACGAGGCCCCAAGCACTGCAAGGATCAGGAGAAACAAGTGCAAGGCCCAAGGGAAAAAAGGCTGAGGAAAAATTGGAAGAGCCCAATAGATGCTAGCATGAGAGAAAGGGCTCTGCCTTGAGTGTGGTGGGTGCAGGGTGTGCTGGCTAGGGTAATGCGGTCCAGCATGAGCAGACGTACCTTGTGGGGTGGAAGCCCTGTGCCGTGAGGCGGATATGGGCGAGCGTTGTGGTGCCCTCGTTGCGCAGCAAAACCATGTACTGCGCCATGCTGCGCCCCTGCACGTCCTGCCACTGCGCCGTCACCACCGTTGTCACCAACAGCTGCCACTGGGACGCTCCACTGCCTGCAGCTGCCATGCTGTTCAGTCCGTTAGGCTGCTGTGCCCTTATCCCACCGTCACTTACACCAGTTACACCACTATCGCCCGTCCAGGGGCTCACGCCTATGTTGGCACGCTGTGCGGTGCGCATGGGGATGGGGCCATCTGGGGTGTCCTCTGCATCGCGCACTGATGCAATGAACGACGTGGATGGGCCTTGTGTGCCTGCAGCAGACATGCGAGGGTATAGAATGCGACGGTCAGACGAACAACACAGTGAGATGCATGTTGGGGCATGTGAAGAGAGCTGGTGCTAGGTGTATGCAGCATGTGTTGGAGAGTGCAGGCAATACGTGCACACAAACGTTGCTGCTGTAATAAGATGCGACAACATATACCAGCTCTCTGGCAGATCATGGCGTCCCCAACATTTCTGGTGAGTCTCTGCGGCCAGTTTTGTGCACTCACCTGTGGAATCGGCTCGCTTGAGTCCAGAGTCGTTGCCGCCTGACTTGTTGCTGCCAGATTTGCCACTGCCCGACTTATTGCTCCTGGATTTGCTGCTGCCTGACTTATTGCTGCCAGAATCGTGGCTGTCCGACTTATTGCTGCCTGATTTGTCGCTGCCCGACTTATTGCTGCCCGACTTATTGCTGCCCGACTTATTGCTGCCTGAATTGTCACTGCCCGATTTATTGCTACCCGATTTATTGCTGCCAGAATTGTTGCTGCCCAACTTGTTGCTGCCAAATTTGTCGCCGCCCGACGTATTGCTGCCCGAATGTTTTTCCTCTGACTTCTTGCTGCCCGAATTACTCCCGTCTGGCTTGTTGCTGCCCGAATTCTTGTTTCCAGACTTGCTGCTGCCACCTCTGCTCTTGTTGGTACCATTCCTATACTTCATGTCCCCACTGCCCTCACCGCCCTTCTTCCCATCTTTATCAGGCTTCTTCCCACTGCTACTCTTCTCTCCACCCCCCTTATCACCCGTGTTGCCACTCTTGCTCCCGCCGCCAGAACCCCCTTGCCCCCCGCCTTTATTTCCGCTGCTTCCATTCCTTGTACCGTTGCCCCCACCCTTGCCCATGCCTCCGCCCCAGTTGCCTTTTCCAGTCTGCTGGTTGGGCGGCAGGGGAGCGTTGCCGGCGAGGAGGCGGGCGAGCGCGCCGACGAGGGGGCTGTTGACGTAGGTGGAGACCTCGCTCTGCTGGTAGTTGTCGCGCACGTCCTTGTACGCGTCCATGTTGTCCGGCCCGCCCACCACTGCGCCCACCAGCACGTTCGCATTCGGTGCCTGCGCAGGCCGCGGGACGACGGGTGTTGTAGGTGGGATAATGAGCGGGCAGGGCATGGGGTGGGAGGGGGTACAACTTGCTGGGAAAAAGAGATGGAGTGTGGGAGGGTGAGCAGCAGATGAGAAGGCAGGCGTACAGAAAGGAGAAGACCGGGTGGGGGATATGACAGCAAGGACTCCGTGAGGGCGCTGGACACTTGCGCCGCATCACCACGGTCGTCCGCCCCGGCGAGGGCATGGACCGCCGCCTCGCATTCTGCTGCCGTCGTGTCAACGTGCCGGCGATCATCACGGCGAACGCGCTCACCTGCGTGTGGAACCACTTGAAGCCCTCCTCGCACCCCACGGGGCGCGGGTCCTTCTTTATCGACACGATGGACGCGCCGCGGTGGTGCACGCGCATTGGGAACGACGCGCCGTACCCCACCATGTAGCTCATGCGGCGCGGGTTCTCGCCCAGCAGGTAGCTCATCTGCGCGGCGCACAGGGGCAGGCGGAAATGAAGACTATAGGCACGCAAAAATGCACGCACCGCTCTCTCGCTAGTTGTGTCTCATCCCTTCATCGCTCCCACTGTCGCTTATTTCGACCCTCTTTTCTACTCACATGCCTTCTGCTCCTCGCACTCTCTCTCACCCCCGTCCCCCGACTGCACCCTCTTCCCCCACCCTTTTGTCTCAGCACTCACTATTCCCCTCGGCACCTGTTTGGCGACGAACTTGCGCATGGCGGCGGGGGTGACGGCGGTGGAGTCGCACTGCACGGACGCGACGCTGGCGCGGTCGAGGTAGTCGCTGTAGACTGCGATCAGCAGCGACACGGCCGTCACGTACTGCAGGTTGCTCCACGGCTGCACGAACAGCAGCCCGCCTGCATACCACGCGGAGGGGATGGGGGAGAATGGGGAGTAAGGGCGGGGAGGGAAGAGTGGACACGGAATGGGGAGTAAGGGCTGAACATGGAAGAGAGAGAGGGTGGCTAGGATGGGAGAGGAGCGCGAAAGCGTGGCAGCGAGGACGTGAGCGCTGATCTGCGCGGAGGAGCGGCGGAAGTACATGGGCGAGCGCAAAGGCAGGCTGCGTACCGCTGTCCGTGGCGCGCTGGGCGTGCGGCTCACCTGGCGTGCGGGTGCCGCGCACGACGGTAGCGCACACGAAGTCATTGGCGCGCAGCTGGTAGCCGTACAGCCCGGGGTCGCGCGCCTTGAAAAACACCTGCACCGCAACAACACACGGGCACACCAGGGGGGAGGAGGCGCAAGCGGGAAGTGGAGCAGCGAAGGCGGGTGAGGCGACAGGTTCACGCGGATGACGCGGCCAGATAGTGAGCGCTTCTGCTGGTGATGCGCGCGGCGCGTACCTTGGAGAGCAGGATCTGCGCGCCGGCAAACTTGTTGTCCCAGGAGAAGGCGTTCATGCTGGTGGTGGCGCCCTGCAGTGTCTCGTTGTTCTTCTTCACGAACGCCAGGTACTGCGCCTCGCCCGTCGCGCGCTGCAGCCACGCCGCCGCCCACAGCAGCTCGTCCTGCGGCGAGAAGGGGGAGGGGCAATCGAGCGCGCGAGCAATGGAGTTTTGCAAGTAGTGCGGGGAGTTGTGAGACGGCATGGAGCGCACAACCACCCCCAATCGAGTGGCGTGACGCACATGGCAATGGGCAGAGGTGGCGCGTGCGGGTGAGGGGCGGCTCACATTGAATCCGGAGTAGGAGTTGTAGAAGGCGACGGCTGACGGAATGCTGCTCACGTACGACTTGCGGTAGGTGTTGGCGAAGTTAAATAGCTGCGCACAGGCGGTGGATAGTGGGTTCGGGGGTATGGGGTGGGTTGGTTGAGAGTGCATCGCATGGAAGACTAAGGCACGGGGTGGAGGTGCATTCCAGGAGAAGAGAGGGGAGAAACAGGGCGGAAGGGTGTGCGGGCATCAAGGCGAGCACGTTACTCATCGCCTCCATTGCTCGCACCACGTGCTCCACCACCTACTCCGTGCCCGCCTCTCACAGCAGCCACAATGCCTCCACGCTGTGTTACCACGCACGTCCACTCTCTCGTCTTCCTGCCCGTCCCTCTTGAACACAAACCTATGGCGCTGCGACGCTAGGCGCGAGCGGCCAGACCGACCATAGTGGCGCCGTACGCAGAGAAGAATAGAGGCACGGCGGCATGGAGATGGAGGAAGATGCAATCCAGAACTATAGTCTAGAGATGATGGGAGAAGACACAAACAAGAAAGGAACAAGGATAATCACGATAGGACGGAGGGCGACTTGGAACAGACTCCGTGTCGCATAGCAACTCGGCAAATGTCCTACATGCCCCATATGCTGATCGCAGTCCCTGACAGGGCTAGCAACTGTTGCTATTCAAAGGTAACAGTTACTTTTGCTGCTAAAATAACTCCGGGAATGCTTGCAGAGCAATGCTTTTCTTGTTCCTCTCCCCTTCCTGCGCACCTCCTTGGCGTGGCGAATCAGCTTTCTCGAGTACTCTTCGTCGCGCGACGCGAAGGCCATGCTGGCTGCGGCAAGGGCGGCGGCGGCCTCAGCGGCGACCTCGGTGCCGGGGTTATTGGCGTCCAGGCGGAACGCCATGCGCGGCGTCGTCATGTCCTCGGGCCGTTGCCAGCACCGATGGTCCGACGGCCCGTCGCCCACCTGCAGTACGCCAGGTGTTAAGCAGTGAGAGCGAGGGAAAGTTAGAGGTAAAACCGATAAGTTGCGTGTCGCAGTGAGAGATGGCGGGAAGGCCGGAGGGTGAACGAGCACGGGGGAAAGTGGGTGTGACGCATCCACTGCTTGCTAAACGGACGGGCCTGCACGACAAGCGGCGATGGACACTGCGAGGTCGCCACAGGCACAATGGGCAAACCGCCGGCCATGGCCGCCCGCGCCACAGTGCGCGGCACTCAGGAGATGCAGGCAAGTGAGATGCGCGACAGTACCTGCGCGTACAGCACGTTAGGCTGCGGGTGCGCGCTGATGAAGAAGTCGGTGCCCCAGCGGATGGCGTCCAGCGCATGGTCCAGCTGCCCCTGCGCCGCCAGCGTGCTGCCGTACTCCACCACGCTCCACGCGAGCGTGGTGACGGTGAACGCCATGGGCAGCCCGTACTTGACGTTGTCGCCGCTGTCGTAGTACCCCTTCGTCAGGTCCACCTGCCGCCGTGCGCACAGCGTAGCCAGGGCATTACGGTATGGCATGGGAAAACGAAACACTTTTTAGTAACTCCGTTGCTCTACTATGGGCTTGCCCTTGGCTACGCTGCGTGCACAACTTGCACGCGAAGGAATAGCATGCAGATGAAAAACGGCGAGGAACATCAGATTTGACCCAGAACTGGCAGCTGGACAACGCGGAGGGCATGAAGAAGCAACTTCCTCTCACAGGAATGTCCCATACAATAATTCCCACCTCATTCATCGTCTGACTCACCCCGACGTCCTTTCCGTCCTTCAGTCCTGAGTCACCGCGCCATTTGGCTCTCTGATCTGGGGGAAGCTTCCCGCTGCGCTGCTGCTCGAAGAACAATATGCTCTTTCGGAGCGCGTCCTCTAGATCAGCCGGTTTAACAAGCTCCACAGAGTTGATCAGGAGCAGTGATGGTAACAGAAATGCCAAAAACGATCGAACAGGTGCTCGCCGACACATCGTTGGTCCTTTGCGAAACTAACTGGAATGCCTTCTAGTGGCTGGTGCTCGTACAGTAAGCGACCTACGTCTCACTGAATCTGTAGGCTACGGTGCGCAGCGAGGCGCCAGGTGAGCTACTCATCGCAGCCGAGAAGTTAAGGCAACTACTGACCTTGTGCGCATCGTCATAATACGACCAACATCAGCCTAGCAGCAGCCTAAGTTGGTTAGGGGCGAAATAGCGAGTGTGATTTGCATGATCTTCAGGGATGTGGCAGTTTTGCCAGTATCGAGCACTGGAAATGTTTGAAGCACATCCCCAGCATTCAGCATTTGGGTTGAAGGCCAAACAAACACATTGGGCGCTACGAGACGGGACAACTTCAGCTGCAATCCAATTTAGCCAGCGCGGTTTGCAAATGCAATCCATTGACAGTCCGCACAAGAAGAAGCTGAGGGGTCGTAATCTGCCCGCGGTCAGAAAAAAATAAACCCCATTTGCAATCAGGGGAGCTCCAGCCCAAAACACGGGCAGCCGAATGGTGCTGCCCGAAAATATTGCATTTGCAAATGAGATCGCAGTTTGAATTGACCGCTACGAGACCTGACCTGACGGCGCCTTGCAAACCAACGCCTCACCACGTCGGATGTGCCCATTCACCCCACGACATCTGGACCAGTTTGGTGTGGAACAAACCAAGTTTCCTTGTTCGGTTTAGCTTCGGGTTCCAATAAGAGACCACGTCAGCAGTCATGTGGTTGGCCTTAACAAATTCCGTGCCTCAGTTTTGGCGCAAGCCGTGGCACGGCAACCATCTGTCAGTGGCTCTGGCTACGTGCGATGGGCAATGTGCGATGTGTTTGGGTGTGGCCGAGGCGGTCTTGTGGCTCTACTGATATTGGTGGGTAGTATAAAAGTTTGAATCAACCACACCACTCCCACCAGTGTTTGCAGCACAGCAGCACGTCAAACCCCTGTGGTGGGAAGTATAAAATATACTCGGAAGCAAACTTCCATAGAAAGCAATTTTTTTACTGAAAAAGACAAACACTCTGAGCAGCAAAACTGACCACAAAGAACCTCGATGATGTTGTTGTAGAGAGGGATGGACAGAAATTGTTGGGTCAAGGTGGTCCTCAGGTTTGATGGCTGGGCCCTTGGCTGCAATAGAGCCGAACCGACACCACGTTCAGACAGGAATGAAAGGCGCTTTGGCGTGTGCGAAGCGAACGTGCGAGTGCACACACATCAAGTACCTGAAAGTACTGGAGAAGGACTATTTAGTATTCGCTATGTTGCAGTACGTTTCAGAGCGGTGACAATCCGAACGGACCGACGTTCTATGGCCTTAGGGCGCGTTCGTTCTGTCAAATTGGACAAAGTTCATGTTTTGGGGGCGAATATTTTTTTTAAAGCCGGCGGCCCAAATTGTTCATGCTTTTAAAAGTTGACCAGAGGGAGTTTTTCTGGTGTGGGCTTTGGCGAGAGTTTCCGATTTCGTCTAGGTTCGTTTTTTTCGCGAGACCCAGCCAACCCTCGGTTTTCCCCCTGGTGAGTGAATCTGTCTTCGAAAGTCCCAAATTGCAAGTGCGTGACTTTCAAAAGCTTGGACACTCAACTTCGTCAAGTTTTAAAAACTTGACCCTCGCGGCCCGCAATTTGGGACGCGGGCTTTAACCTAAGTCGAATGGAATTCGACTTTCCTTGTAGCGAACTTCGAAAATTGCGGGAATAACACTGCAAAGATGCAATCACACACGCAAGGTCGAACACCAGAATTCGAACTTTATGTTATCCGGTACATGCTCGCCAAGTCAAATAAATGCCATTGTATGTTTCGCGATGGAGTCGTCAATTTCGCATGGTGTTCGTGCGTGCCTAAAACACACACGCTCACATGAACGTGCTCACGCACGTTCACAACGCCAACTTGAGTCATGTTCATATTTCAAGTTCGAACTTTCATTTGCACTGAAATTCGCGATGTTCGTCACACGCTCTTAACGAGATTGGCGAAAAAGGTAACCACTTAAAGTTGGAACTTATTTTCGAACTTGGAAACAAAACACACGCGCCCTTAGTTACAGCTAAGGCTTCGCATCCACACCAGCTTTGACTTGTAAAACAGAGTAGCTGTGACTACTGGAGGGCTGGAAACTTGGCTGGAAAGTCTTAGCAGGGCTGCTGGAATTGACTGGATGAGGTAAAACTTCACTATGTTCAAGATTAACAAGCCCACTAAAGCACAACTCTAGGCATCACAAACAAGACAGATTGAAAGCTCAAACTAGGCTGATAGACAATGTAACTTCCCTGGTAACTTGGGCACAATCTAGATTGGATGGACCTTGAGTGACTTTGAGTGCCACATGAGGTGCATGAATAAGAAAACTCTGGATATTTCTGTTATAGCTGATTCTGATGTGTAGAAACCTGTAGAAACTGCCAACACTTCGGTTTGAAGGCAGCTTTGAACTATATCGAGTCTTCGGCTGAAATCTGATTGGTGGTGGAACTTTCGAAGTACTTCCCGAAGCTCTGATTCATCGCCGACATTCCCCCTTGCTGCTGCTTGTGTGCTAAGGGCTGGGGCGGCAGAAACTCGATTCTCCAATACTCCCCCTCGCACCAGACCCGAAGCACACATACACCCATGCTGATGCTCCTTTCACATCTCCTTAGCATACACTTCATGCTGCTGCCCACGTCTCTTCCCCTCACACTCCTCATTCTCCTCAAACTGCTCCACTGCTTCATGAAGTGTCATGAGGCCTGCTCTTGCCTTGCACATGTTGAATGCATCATGTGGAAGAACCTTGGTCATGAAATCTGCTGCTTGATCGAATGAACGGCAAAAGTTGACGGCGAGAACTCCCTTCTCTAGTTGCTCACGAATGAAGTGGTACTGCACCTCGATGTGTTTTGTACGCCCATGATGAACCGGGTTCTTGGAAAGAGCTACGGCTGAAGTGTTGTCCACGTAGAGCGGAGTTGGTTGAGTTTGCGGCTGCCTCAATTCCTCCAAGAGTCCACGTAACCAGATTGCCTCCCTTGCTCCTTCGGTCATTGCCATGTACTCAGCTTCGGTTGTTGAAAGTGCCACACAACTTTGCTTGCGCGATTGCCAAGAAACAGCGGCACCACACATGAGGAAGATGTAGCCGCCGGTAGACTTGCGTGTGCTCAATTCTCCCGCCCAATCTGCATCGGTAAACCTTGGAGGGAGCTTGCATATGGGCTGGCTTGGAAGAGAAGACCATGATTAGAAGTACCTTTGAGATACCGAAGAGCTCGCTTGGCTGCATGCATATGAATAGGTGAAGGGGCACTCATGTGTTGAGCTAGCTTAGATACCGTGAATGCTAAGTCGGGCCTTGTGCATAGGGCTGCATACATGAGACACCCAACCTGACTTTGGTACAGAGCTAGGTCTTGTGGGGATACCTTAAGTGAATTCTCACCATGATGCTCACTCTCCTCAAGACACAACTCTTTAATACCTATGATATCAAGGCTTGACTCTCTCTCTTCATAGGGCTGATGTGAAGACAAAGGGACAAATTTGGAAGGAAGTGGGGTAGGTGATGGCTTGCTATCATCAAGACCAAACCTCTCAAGGACCTTTTGGATGTACCTTTGCTGGAATAGGAAGATGGACCGTGACTTACGATCTCTCACAATGTTCATACCAAGATAATGACTCGGCTCACCAAGATCGGTCATCGTGAATGCACTCGTGAGAATACCTTTCACCTTGTTGAGAAGATCAAGAGAACCTGAGACTAGGAGGAGGTCATCGACATATACCAAGAGCCAAATGTACTCCCCCTCACTCGTGTGCATGAAGTACAGAGCGTTGTCTCTCATGGACCTTGTGAAACCATGCTTGAAAAGTACCTGCTCAAGAGCATGATACCAAACCCGTGGGGACTGTTTGAGACCATAAAGGGACTTTACCAAGCGACACACTCGACCCGTACCGTCATCATAACCTTCGGGTTATGCCATGTATACCTCTTCTTCCAAGACACCGTAGAGAAATGCGTTCTTGACATCCATTTGATGGATATGGAGACCAAGATATGCGGCTATGGCGAGGAGGACTCGTACCGTGGTGTACTTTGCTACCACGGCAAAGGTTTCGGTGAAGTCAAGACCTGGAATTTGGGAATAACCTTTTGCCACTAACCTTGCCTTGTACCTATCGAGGCTACCATCACCTTTTACCTTGATCTTGTACACCCATTTGACACCAATTACCTTCTTCCCTGGAGGTGGCTCAACAAGACGCCATGTACCTCGCTTCATGAGACTCTCAATCTCCTCTTCCTCGGCTTTCAACCAATGCTCTCTTTCGGGACTTGCCATTGCCTCACGACGACTCAAGGGCTCTCGCGGAAGATGTGATGCTGCCATGCATATTGCCTCTACCTTCTTGTGAATGCAATTCTCACTCTCCTCACATGTGCACCTTGATGACATGTCAACCATGAAATTGAAGGGCTTTTTTACCTTGCGGACTCGTTTACCTTTACCAAACTCCTCAGTTGGCTGAGACACATTAGTGGT